ATTGTGTGGTAGTTTGAGCGTTCTTTGGCATTTCCTTTCTTAGTGATTGGAATGAAAACGGACCTTTTCCAGTCCTGTGGCCACTGCTGAGTTTTCCAAATTTGCTGGCATATTGAATGCAGCATTTTCACAGAATCATCTTTTAGGATTTGAAATAGCTCAACTAGAATTTCATCACCTCCACTAGTAGCTTTGGCTGTAGTGATGCTTCCTAAGGCCCACTTGATTTCACATTGCAGGATGTCTGGTTCTAGGTAAGTGATCACACCATCAGGATTATCTGGGTCATGAAGTTCTTTTTTGTACAGTTCTGTGTATTCTTGCCACCTCTTCTTAATATCTTCTACTTTTAGGTCCATACCATTTCTGTCCTTTATTGAGTCCATCTTTGGATGAAGTGTTCCCTTGGTATCTCTGATTTTCTTAAAGAAATCTCTAGTCTTTCCCATTCTATTGTTTTCCTCTGTTTCTTTACACTGATCATTGAGGAAGGCTTTCTTATCTCTCCTTGCTATTCTTTGGAACTCTGCACTCAAATGGGTATATCTTTCCTTTTCTCCTTTTCCTTTTGCTTCTCTTCTTTCCACAGCTATTTGTAAGCCCTCCTCAGGCAGCCATTTTGCTTTTTTGCATTTCTTTTGCTTGGGGATGTCCTTGATCCCTGTCTCCTGTACAATGTCACGAACCTCCGTCCATAGTTCATCAGGCACTCTGTCTTTCAGATCTAGTCCCTTAAATCTATTTCTCACTTCTACTGTATAATTGTAAGGGATTTGATTTAGGTCATACTTGAATGGTCTAGTGGTTTTCCTGACTTTCTTCAATTTAAGTCTGAATTTGGTAATAAGGAGTTCATGATCTGAGCCACAGCCGGCTCCCGGTCTTGTTTTTTGCTGACTGTATAGAGCTTCTCCATCTTTGTCTGCAAAGAATATAATCAATCTAATTTCAGATTGGCCATCTGGTGATGTCCATGTGTAGAGTTGTTGGAAGAGGGTGTTTGCTATGACCAGTGCTTTCTCTTGACAAAACTCTATTAGCCTTTGCCCTGCTTCATGCTGTACTCCAAGGCCAAATTTGCCTGTTACTCCATGTGTTCCTTGACTTCCTACTTTTGTATTCAAGTCCCTATAATGAAGAGGACATCTTTTTTGGGTATTAATTCTAAAGGGTCTTGTAGGTCTTCATAGAACTGTTCAACTTTAGCTTCTTCAGCATTACTGGTTGGGGCATAGACTCGGATTACCATGATATTGAATGGTTTGCCTTGGAAACAAACAGAGATCATTCTGTTGTTTTTGAGATTGCATCCAAGTACTGCATTTCGGACTCTTGTTGACTATGAGGGCTACTCCATTTCTTCTAAGGGGTTCCTGCCCACAGTAATAGATATAATGGTCACCTGAGTTAAATTCACCCATTCCAGTCCATTTTAGTTCTCTGATTCCTAGAATGTCAACAACCACTTCCAATGTGCCTTGATTCATAGACCTAACATTCCAGGTTCCTATGCAAATATTGCTCTTTACAGCATCAGACCTTGCTTCTATCCTGTCACATCCACAACTGGGTGGTGTTTTTGCTTTGTCTCCATCCCTTCATTTTTTCTTATGTTACTTCTCCACTGATCTCCAGTAGCATATTGGGCACCTACTGACCTGGGGAGTTTCTCTTTCATTATCCTATCATTTTGCCTTTTCATACTGTTCATGGGGTTCTCAAGGCAAGAATACTGAAGTGGTTTGCCATTCCCTTCTCCAGTGGACCACATTCTGTCAGACCTCTCCACCATGACCCATCCGTCTTGGGTGGCCCCACACGGCATGACCTAGTTTCATTGAGTTAGACAAGCTGTGGTGCTGTGATCAGATTGGCTAGTTTTCTGTGATTGTGGTTTCAGTCTGTCTGCCCTCGGATGCCCTCTCTCAGCACCTACCATCTTACTTGGGTTTCTCTTACCTCGGACGTGGGGTATCTCTTCACGGCTGCTCCAGCAAAGCACAGCTGCTGCTCCTTACCTTGGACGAGGGGTATCTTCTCACAGCTGCCGCTCCTGACCTTGGACGTGGGGTATCTCCTCTCTGCCAGTTATATATTAATAGCTGGACAAATCAACTTTCCAGTCTTATTTGTCATTACAACTCATAATTTACCAACCAAACTACATCTACTTAATGTATACCCTGTGTGCTGTTCTTCTCATGCTGTGTTCCATATAGTACCCTTGCTCCTCAATGCCTTCAAATCCAAATCATGTCTTCCCTCTGGGACCTAGCATATACCACTTCTTCCACATAATTTCCCTTCATTTCAATAGATGATGCAACCTCTTCTTTCCCTAAACTCCTGAAATAATTTCCTATGTACCTCTTTAAAATAATACCATGTTTAATCAATTCTGAGATATAAATTTTTTCACATTTAACATCTCCATATATTATCTCTTAAAACATGCCATTCATCATCAGTGTTCTTGAAAGAGAGAATCCTGGTATTTTGTGGGAAAACATGAACAACAACTACTCTGAGTCAAAAAAATAGTTCAGAAGAATGAAGAAGCGTTAAATACCTTAACCAGTTTTGTGTATGTTCTTTCTTTGTGTATACTAAGTGATATATGACAAAACCTGCCAACCTAAGTCATTAAAAAAAAAACTTCTTTAATGCAAAATAAGGAGTCTAAGTGATAAGTCATTTTGTTATAGTTTAATTGGCAGCTTTTTTTCTTAGTATACATAAAATAATGGTGTGACAATCACTGGTGTCCTAGATTCAAAGAAATAAGATAGTTTTATTTTGTGATTAAATATGTCAGGCATTAAGAACATGTACCTTCCTAATACATGTTGTATTATATATATTTATATTTATTTCTAGTCCTGTATCAAACTGTAGGCCTTTTGAGGGCAGGGATTGAGATTGATTGGAGGGAAAAAAACAAGGCTATTTAAAAAGTACTATATTTCTTAGAGACAGCCAGGCAGGCTGGGATTTTATTTAATCTTTGATACCCTTACAATAGCTGTTACAATGCTTTATACCATATACGTATGAAGTAAATATTTAATAAATAAATGGATTAAAATATGAAGTATGATATAAAAGTTCCACAGAAAGATAAAGTACTATATGAGTGAACATCTACTAGTACATTCTCAGTTAACTACTTAACTATAGTTTTGTTAGAAATGTATTTATATATGGTATTTAGTTGGGTCCTTGGGCTGAATCTCAACTTAGGCTCGTGGTTTTTGAACCAACAATAAATGATCCTGATAGAATTCTCTAAATTTTGGTCTTGCTTGCTGACTGCATTCATAAGAAATTGTGGTGACTCGTCTTGATTGAATCATAGAAGGTAGTAAATAAAGCCTCTGCCTTGAAGAACAAATGACAGTGACTTTCCCTAATGATGCTAAGATTACACAGGAAACCAGGCAAATGGCTGTCTCTAAAAAATATAGTACTTTTAAAATAGCCTTGTTTTTTTCCCTCCAATCAATCTCAATACACCTATGATAAAAAATCTGGGAAATAAAAAACAGCTTAAGGAATTTTGTCTGTGTGGTATTTTCTAGTTTGTACCCTCATTCTTTGGACTACAAGAACAGGAAATAACACAAGCATTTTTCTTCAGTCGGCTAAATAGTTCCAATTCTGATTCAAATAAGTAATTTCCATCATTCTCTTGGAAGGCTTATGTGTTTGCAAACTATTCTTGGCGTGGAAAAGCAGTGGTAGTCCACTCTGCTCTTCACCAGATATCTCCACTTATCTTTCTGGATTGTACATTCTTTCCCTGTTGAAGTTAGGCATGGTCATGTGACTTTTTGTTTAATAAAATGAGACCATTAGTGACATAAAGCTTTCAGAGCAAGTACAAAATTTCCCACACTTCCTCTATCCTGCTGCAGCAACTATAGAAGCACAGAGATGGAGCCACCCTTAGCACAAGACCCTGCGTGAGGACAGCATAGAGCCAGGTCCCCATCATATTTGACCTGCTCAGAGATACGTAGTATGTTTTGTGTGAGATTATTATTTTGTGTGTGTGTGAAATTTGTGTGTGATATTTTGTGTGAGATTATATTATTGTAAAGTTATTAGATAAGTATAACCTAGCTTATTGTGATTAATATATTCTTTACTCCAAAACAGTAGAGCTTAATGGTAACTAAAAGAATATAACAGATTTAATGTGCTATTATTGGCCTAGTATTTTTTTCTTCCTTTTGGAAATATTATTGTACACAGATTCTATAAGCTAATAATATTCATCACCAGGTGATTAGAGTCCTTTCCACGCATCAAAATAGTTTTCTTTGAATTACAGTCTTTTGTCAAAACATTTTGAGATACCTCTGTAAGATGTCCTTTCATCTGCCAACAGTAGAATTGTTTCTTAAAATAAGTGCTCATTGATGTTCATTCTTGTATTTATTTTTTTATTCAGCAAGCTTTTTTGAATGTCCATTATTTGCCAGGTGCTAAGACTGGACGAAGTTCAAGGCACTCTGGATGGTTTGGTAAAAGTGGCACAAAGTAAGAAGGGGCTAAAAACTATAAGGCACTTTGTTCTTCTACAGCCTAGGTGCTTCACTGGTTTCATAAATGATACAAACCAATTTCATTTTAAAATAGCTAAACTACATTTAAAAGTTAACATCATAAATACCATATTCAAGGTGACATAGATCAAATTAGGCCACTGTTGAGACCACCAATATATGACCTTAAAAGTTAGAAGTTTCTTTACCATAGCTAGTATAGAGACAGTTTAAGAAATAGGAACTTAAGTGCCATCGAAAAGTCTCATTCTCCCAATTATCTTAGTTTCCAGCAACTGTGTTTTACAGATTAAAAAGTTAAAAGCTGGATTCTGTTTCTGGTCTTCGTTACAAGAATCTGAATAGCTTGTACAAGGCAGTGCAGTTGAGTTAGGAGACGGCAAGGCTCCCCTTTTGTCCTTTCTCCTGTCACCTTCTGCCTTTCCATTCTAGGGGTTCTTCAGCAAGCGCCTGAAAGGCTCCATCAAGAGGACCAAAAGCCAGTCAAAGCTTGACCGAAACACGAGCTTCCGGCTTCCCTCTCTGCGCAATACCGATGACAGGTAGGCGTTCCCTTGCTTAAAACACAGAAAGTATTTTACAGTGCATTTTGGTAAGATATTTTGGTCTTCTCTAGCTGTGCATCAGTGATAGTCCTAGAGAACTGATAAAAAAAATTTAGTATTTTGTCTTGCTCATATTGAGGGACGGTACAAAATATTAGCTTATATACCAAACCAGTTTAAAAATTTTATAACATTGGAGAGTGTGCAGATACCTAAGAACTAATTTAAGAGTCAGTTGTGCTATTTCTGTCGAAGTGTGTTCTAGTGGTCCAAAGTGTATCTTTCTTCTGTAGAATGGTTTTAAGGGATGCTGATGGCAATAGCAAACATTTTCTGAGCACTATACTAAGTGCTTTATATACTTTATCTTGTTTAATCTTATAGAATAACCCTGTAAGAGAAATACTAATATTATCACCATTTTACAGATGACAAGTCTGAGAAACGGAGGTTCCAAGGTTATACTGCTTAGTAAATAGCAAAAATGGTATTTGAACTTGGGCAACTTTGCTCTTAGTCCATGGTCTTCACTGCTGTCTTGTTCTTTGTGTATACTGTATGGACTCGGCCTTATTAATTTACAGTCACATCTAGAAGGCATGTATGAAAAAGAAGCCTTGCGATTTCTCTGGTGGTCGAGTGGCTAAGACTCCACGCCCAATACAGGGGGTCCAGGTTCAATCCCTGGTCAGGGAACTAGATCCCATATACTACAACTAAAGATTCCATATGCCGCAATGAAGATTAAGGCTCCTGCATGCCACAGCTAAGACCCAGCACTGCCAAATAAATAAGTAAAAAAAAAAAAAATTTCTCTTTTTTTTTTTAAAAAAGAAGCCTAGATTTCAATAATTAGGACTACCAGCTTGAGCAAACCTCACATGCATAGCTCTCTAAGGATAACAGCCTTCTAAAATGATTGAATGTATGCTAGGACACATTTGTAATAATTCATGTCTCCACAATGCTCAAAATTTAGGAAATGGTACTCTTGTGTCTTGACACATCACCGCCATCACCAGTATTTATTGAGTGCTTACTCTGTGCCAAGTATTTTTAATGTAGTCTCTCATATAATGCAACCCTAGATACTATTTTAGAGATGAGGAACTAAGGCAAAAGAGATTGAGAAGCTTGCCGATAGTCACACAGCTAATTAGTAGAGCTTGGATTTAAACTTTTGTCTGCCTTTCATAATGATCCTCCTATTTATACTTGGGTGTTTCTTTTTCTTTTCAGTAATAAGTCCATTATTTCCAGCTACCTGAATAATAAATAGAAATATAGATTGTGATCTCATAATTGCAGATTATAGACTTGCCAGGCAGAAAGTTACTCTTATTTTATAAATAAAGTAACTTTTCCCCTATACTGAGTTGATGAGAGGCTACTGCTTTATCAGCTCTTCTTATGCTTGAACCACTTTAGAGATGGTCTGTGAAATTTGCAAGTATGTTCAATTGCAGTGCAATTGTATTGTTAGATATCTCTTTTATACCTCTTTGTTTAAGGGTAATCATTAAAAAAAATCTTTTATCCTCATATTTTCCCTTAGATTCCTATTATTCTACAACTTTCATCATTGTAAGAATTCAAATCATTTTATAAATAAGTCTCAATAAAATAGAATGACAAGATTTTTCAGAATATTGGTTTTCAAGGACAAGGATATGGTGTAGCAACTAAAACATTCCTAATTCAATCACCAGTTCCTTAAACTCTATAGCATCACGTATAAACTTGAGAGACAAGGATATTTTTTGTAGGTGTACTTTATTTTATAAACTTGCCCTAAATATCACTTTCTCCATTTCAAACCATGCTCTCTTCTATTCTGTTTTACTTTAGGTAGCCTAGAGGAATTCTTGGATTGAATTACCAAGAGATTATATTCTCCTGGAGTCTGCTATTGCTATTATATAGGCAGCACATTTTCAGCCTTTCCAATGATTTAAATTCTTATATGTGACTTTCATGCTATTCTGCTTCCATCAACAGTAGTATCTTTCTGGCTCATATACAGCATAATAAAAAAAGTGCTAATAAATCTCAAATATTAGATAATCCTTTTTGCCTTTCAAATCCATTTATAGAGGTTTTCTAAACAGAAATTTTTCAGAAACGTTATTCTTCTTGTAAGGGGATATACTCACTAGAAGTTTAAATATATCACAGTTAAAAAAAAAAGGATCCTCTTGCCGTCAGATCATCTGAAAACACAGATAAATAGAACTAAGATACAAGATCTTAATCAACTGAGTTCTTCAAATTGGTAACCTTACTGGTGTCATTAAGAGATTTTCCCAAAAACCCTTGGTCTTGTGCCATATGCATCAGTTGCTGAAATCAGGCCATTTCTTCCAAAATGGTATGTGGTGTCTAAATCTAAGTAGAAAAACACTTCTTTTTTTTTTTTTTTAAACATTTCTATTATAGCAAGTCTGCATAAACTCTAGGCAAACCTAGTAAACAGCCCCTTTTTGCAGTTTCTAAATTGTACTGTAAAATGTTTGTGTCTTTGTGTAAAAGAAAAAAGTTTCAACACATTAAGTACAGCTTAAAAAATAAAAGTCCCTCTTCACCTTCCTTTTCTTCCCATATAAATAACCTCATTAACAGTTTGTATATTTTCAAACCCTTTTTTAAAAATCCACACATAAATGCATACATATTTTCATAAAGCTGGTGTTGTCAGTGTTTAGTCAGTGAGTTGTGTCTGACTCTTGCGACCCCATGGGCTATAGCCCAACAGGCTCCTCTGTCCGTGGGATTTCCCAGGCAAGAATACTGGAGTGAGTTGCCATTTCCTTCTCCAGGAGATCTTTCCAACCTAGGGATCGAACCCACGTCTCCTGCATTACACGCAGATTCTTTACCACTGAGCCACCAGGGAAGCCTTTCACACATAAGTGGGATCATATTATATGTATTACTTTGTGACTTCACTTTATAGAATAAATATTTTTGACAACTTTATATGTCAGTCGTATAAACCTACATAATTCTTCTTAACAATAACAGTTTTTTGTAACATGTGTACTTCACTTCCCTGCTGATGAATATTTTGTTTCTCCATTCTTGGGCATAAAATAGAGATGTAGTGACCATTTTTGTTATGTGCCTTTCTCTCCTTATGTGATAGGGTTAGATTTCTGAAGAACTACTAGTATGAAGTATATACAATATCAAATTGTTCTTCAGAAAAGCTGTACTAATTTCCATTCCCACCCATAGATTAGGATCACTTTTATCCATGGATAAATAACAAGGTCCTACTGTATAGACAGGGAACTAGATTCAATATGCTGTGATAAACCATATGGAAAACATTATTAGGGAAAAAAATATATATATATGTATATATAATTAAGTCACTTTGTTGTACAGCAGAAATTAATACAATGTTGTACAGCAACTAGACATCAATAGTAAAAATTGCTTTTATTCTTCAAACAACCATTATATTTTATCAGTATGATGGATGAGTAGAAATAGTAAACACATATACAGTATGTACTGGGCTTCCTGGATAGCTCAGTGGTAAAGAATCTGCCTTCAGTGCAGGAGACCCAGGTTCTATCCCTGGGTCGTGAAGATCCCCTGGAGGAGGGCATGGCAACCCATTCCAGTATTCTTACCTGGAGAATCCCCAGACAGAGGGGCCTGGTGGGCTACAATCCATAGGGTCACAAAGAGTCTGACACAACTGAAGCGACTTAGCACTTACACACACAGTATGTACTGTGTGTCCTTCATTGGTCTAAGCACGTCACTTAAATGAACTCATTTAATCATTGTAACAACCCTGGTTACATTCATGACCTCATTTTGAAGATGAGAGAACTGAAACAGAGAAATGAGTGAACTGCACAAGGTCACACATCAGAAGATGGCAGTACTGTGATTCAAATTCAAGAATTCTAGCTCTGGAGTGTACATTCTTAACTTCATGCTGTGTTGCCCCTCACAAAAAAGTCAGGTAGCAGACATTTTTTTGTTTTAATTTCTATTCCCTAGTGCCTACTAAGTTGAACATCTTTTCAGAAGTTTTCTTCTTCTATGACTTGCTTATTGATCCCTTTGCCCATTTTCTATTGAGCTATTTGTCCTTTATCTAATGATTTGGAGTAGTCCTTTATTATTACAAGGGATTGTAAGCCACTACTACTCATATTGTTAAATTTTTCATCTAGTCAGTTACTTGTGTTTTAAAATCATGTCTCTTCAGTATGGTACTGGCACAAAGACAGAGATATAGATCAATGGAACAGAATAGAAAGCCCAGAGATAAATCCACGAACCTATGGTCACCTTATCTTCAACAAAGGAGGCAAGGATATACAATGGAAAAAAGACAACCTCTTTAACAAGTGGTGCTGGGAAAACTGGTCAACCACCTGTAAAAGAATGAAACTAGAACACTTTCTAACACCATACACAAAAATAAACTCAAAATGGATTAAAGATCTAAATGTAAGACCATAAACTATAAAACTCCTAGAGGAGAACATAGGCAAAACACTCTCCGACATAAATCACAGCAGGATCCTCTATGACCCACATCCCAGAATTTTAGAAATAAAAGCAAAAATAAACAAATGGGACCTAATGAAACTTAAAAGCTTTTGCACAACAAAGGAAACTATAAGCAAGGTGAAAAGACAGCCCTCAGATTGGGAGAAAATAATAGCAAACGAAGCAACAGACAAAGGATTAATCTCAAAAATATACAAGCAACTCCTCCAGCTCAACTCCAGAAAAATAAATGACCCAATCAAAAAATGGGCCAAAGAACTAAACAGACATTTCTCCAAGGAAGACATACAGATGGCTAACAAACACATGAAAAGATGCTCAACATCACTCATTATCAGAGAAATGCAAATCAAAACCCACAATGAGGTACCATTATACTCCAGTCAGGATGGCTGCTATCCAAAAGTCTACAAACAATAAATGCTGGAGAGGATGTGGAGAAAAGGAAACCCTCTTACACT